TTTGTTAAAAATATGTATAAACAAAGAAGAGGAGCATATTTGAGTTATGTGGGGGAAAAGACCTAAGGCAGAAAGAGTCATGCTAAACACTACACATGGATTACATTGTTCCAGTATCCATATTTTATCTCACCAAGTGGGTAAAAAAAGGCTTCATGTAACTTTACTAAATGGGGAGAATTAATCACTAGGACCCGCAGGGAAGATTGAATCGCCTTGATCCCCAGCAGTTTTATTGAAAGATCACCCAGGCCCCCTGCAGTTACTTACGACAGCATGCTACCGGGTAGTGGATCTCACTGCCAACTACAAGTTCTTAGAACATATACAGAGTGTTTTATAGTTTCTGAGTCACCTGGGCCCAGCAGTTGGGCAGTTCATGATGAAATAAGGGGAACACAGTCAGAAGAAGGTGAGAGGCCTGCAGAGGGGGCTCAATACAATGGCATTGGATTGCAGGAGATTAACACAATGATCACGGGATTATTGTGAGTCTTGGCATGCAAACGAGGGTGGTTGCAATGCTGTTAACCTGGCAGCCTGACCAGTTCTTGCTGATGAGCAAAACAAGAGCCCTGGCAGCTATTGGGGAAGCCATCCAGTCCCACTTCTTAAAGGAACAGCAAATGTCAAACAGTAACCTGGCTTGGAATTTTTGGGGGCTTCCTTGAGCAAAGTGTGCAGGCATTTTATAACACAAAGGCACATAAGTGACTCTTTGGCAGGATGTAGCTGGATTTCCCCAACACTTACTTCTTCTTTGATGCATATCTGAAAATAATTTTTTCACATCTGCTTTTTGCTTCCAGGGTAAAAATGTGCTGTTAATTTTAGAACACAAACTTGTAAAAGGAAATGCCAGCAGACACTGGACACGTTTGCACAATACAATACGCATCCTAACCATGATGTGCCAAAAGGCCTCTAGGCACATTGTAGAAAGGTTGCTCTCTTTTATTAAGAAGCGCAGGGAATGCTGATTCAATGTGCAGATGACTCAAAAAACCCTAGAAAGCAGAAACAAATCAGATGTAAACCTCTTTAGCAACACTCTCTTTTATGATGAGGTGGAAGTTATATTTTGGTGTTAAAAGGTAAAGGTAAAGGTTTCCCCTTGACATTAAGTCCAGTCATGCCTGACTCTAGGGGGCGTTGCTCATCTCCATTTCCTAGCTGAGGGAGCCAGCGTTGTCCGCAGACAGTCTCCGTGGTCATGTGGCCGGCATGACTGAACACCGAGGAGCACAGAACGCTGTTACCTGCCCACCAAAGTGGTACCTTTTTATCTACTTGCATTTGCATGCTTTCGAACTGCAAGGTTGGCAGGAGCAGGGACCGAGCAACAGGAACTCATCCCTTTGTGCAGATTTGAACCGGCAACCTTTCGATCAACCAGCCCAGCAGCACAGCAATTTAAACCACTGCACCACCTGCAGTACCCTATTTTGGAGTTATGTTACATTAAATGAAAATTTGATTTTTTTTCTTTCTTTTTGCTCCTTATACATTCCTGTAAGTACAGCACCAAAAGATTAGATCTATCTAGAGCTGTATTTGCAATATTCATTGCTTGAAGTGTTTTAATCAGTTGCACATAGTTAACAGGGCAGCCAAAGTCTCCTTAAATATTATAAATATGTTTGATAATACTTAGCAAAAGTAAAATCCATAGTATGCACAAAAGATCAAATAGGTCGTAGAAATTTTACCTTTACAAAAAGCAGGACTCCTGTCGCTATCTTGTATTGGTGTTTATCTGCCTCTGTCTTAAACTTTGGGTTAAAAACAAAACACTTCTTTCTTAGTCTTGTTCAGTATTTTATTGATTTTAATTTGCTAGCCGTTTTCACATTCGCAGAAAGAAAAGCGCAGGGAACATAAATCAAGTTCTTTCAAGATGGGTAGAAACTACAATTCCCAGCAAGTAGTGGTCTTTTGATCGGCTTGCCGCTTGAGTATCCCGGCTTTTGATTGGCTTAGATGGGGTGCCGAGAAGGGGAAGGATTGGCTAAATTAAACAATGGGTGTAGGGTCTGCATGGTCTCTGCGGCCGCAGGTCAGAGGTAGGGAATTGCTAGAATAAAACATTTCTCCAGAGAATCCTTTGCATCCCATCGCTCGCAAATGCAGGTAAGGGAGGGAGGAGTTTTATTATATTGTTTCCGAGACCACAGAAAAACAGCGGTGTCTTTTCCCTTTGTCTACTTGCGCCCCCCCCCCCCAGCTTTAAAATAGATCTAAAGTGGGAAAAGAAATTGCGCATTGGATCCCCGGGTGGATTTGGGAAGGAGAATGAGAGAGAAGGGGAGGGGAAATAAAAGCAGGAGGAAAGATCCATGTACGACCTCTTGCAATTGCAAACGGGGAAAATGTAGTTACTTGAAGAATCTCAGTCGGAACAGGGCAAATGTCGGATCCCTGAAATTAAGAAGGGATCCTTTTAATTTTATGGATCTTCATGATTTTTACGTGGTTTGAGGGGTTTTCCCGGTAAAAGATCCCTGCCTCAGGCCCATGTTTTTATGTTGTCGCAGTGCAGTGATAAGTAGATCGATGGCTTTTCTGGTGCAATCCCCGGCTACTGATACAGTTCGTGTTTTGGTGCTGAAAAAACCATGGGGATTTACCTGTAGTCCACGTTCTGGAACTGTGGCAGCACCAACAAGCGTCATTTCTGTGATTTTCCAGGTTCACTCTGTGAAGGTACAGGTGATCTATGATTGAATGGTAGTTTTAGGGATGTCCCTGCAAAAACGTAAAATCAAGAGGATCTGATTTAGTTTTTGTGGATATGACTTTTTCTTTCTTCCTTATTGTTCCTGTTACCTTTTAAAACTGTGTCAAAAGAGCTCAAGAAACAGACACCGAGCCTTGCTGGAATAGACTAATGGCTGGGCTAATATAGTATCCTTTTCCCACCTTTTCCCAGTTGAAATAGGCAGGCATTCCTTATTCTCCAACAATTGACTTCTTGTGAGTAGTAATAGCAGCAGCATTAGGTGCAGAAACAAGACTGTAGAAAGATACAAAGAGCCCTGCTGGATTGAAGCAAAGGCCCCTCAAGCTCAGCATCCTGTTCCCACAGTGGGCAGAGAGATGCCCCATTGGGAAGCACCCAAGCCGGACATGAGGGCAACTCAGCTCTCCTCCAATTACTGTGGAGCCACATACACGAAGAACAAAGGGCTCCTTGCACTGGATAAATTCTTAAAACCCCTTTGGCAGCTGCCCATTGAGAAAGCCTCAGAAGAGCCTTTCCTCCCAGAAGTTCTCCAATAGCTCTTGTGGGAGCAGCAGGTCCAGGTGGTGGGGCACCTGCCAAAGCCCCGTCTCAGCTTTGAGCCCTCCATCAAGAGATCCCTGGGCCATCCTTGTTCCTCTGGCCCTGAAGTGGGGTGGGTCGTGGTGAAGGGGAGTAGCAATGGTGAAAAGGAGAAGTGGCAGCCACTTAGTGGGGGGAAGCAGTGTGGAGGGGGAGCTGTGGGGAGTGGCCATGGAGGAGGGGGTGATCATCTCCAGTGAAGGAGAGGACCCTTTCTGAAGATGTCTTGTCTGGGCCCTGAAGATCTAGGGCCCCCACATTCAAGAGTGAAAGTGATTGAAAATCTTTTTTTTTCTTTTTAATGCACAAAAGTTTCTTGCCGCTTCCTTCATTTTCTAAAGCGAATGAAGTGAACACACAGTATTATGGTGCTGTTCTAACCAAGGATCCCTAAGCACACTTTCCTGCTGTGTTGAAGCTTTTTGTTCTTTATCAGCGCATGGTGCAGCAAAGAATTCTGGTATTTTGCATCACCTCCACGTGCATCTAGGCTTTTGTGCCGCATGAGGGACTGCATCTGTTCATGTCTCCACATCACTGCAGGTGCTTCTGTGATGGAGCGTAGTGAGCTGCCTTCCTCCACCAGCCCTTGGTCCAGGTAGCCTGGGATTCTTGACACGGGCTGGCAGCAGTGATTCTGTCAGAGTCCAGGCAGGGGGTTTCCATCCCTCCCTCAGATGCCAGGCACTGACCACTAACAGGACTTCCTGCATGCAAAAGAGAGACTCAGCTTTATCACAAATATCCAGCAGATAGAGCATGTTTACATTTCTCATTTTCCCTCAAATTGAACCAGGAGTTCGGACCTGGGTGCAAGGGCCCCTGCAGCAGATGCAGCCCTTGCTGGTCCTAGCTAGACTCAATCTCTTTAGTTGCATAGCCTTTTTTTTTTAATTATTATTATAACATTTCTATGCCGCCCCTTGCCAAAACCTCGGGGCGGCTTACAACACAATAAAATACATTGAAATACAATAGAACATAATAAATTACCATTAAATACAAAAATACAAAAAATACACTGAGTTACAAATATAAAATTAAAATTATCAGTATAAAATAAGTAAATAAAAATATAGGAGGAGAAAAGAGAAGGAAGAAGAAGTTGCCCTGGCCAGATCATATATTTCTTGTGACAACTTCTGGGAAAGGTGGACTCTTCAGGTCTCCTTTCCCAATTGTTATACTTGTTTGATGGGACGTTGTCGCCTGAGCAGGGACTTTGCAGGCAGAAGGCTCCAGGATCAACCCCCAGGACCTCCAGATGGAAGGCACTCCGGCAGCAGGGCCCTGGAGGACCCCCCTCTGTTGGAGCCCTTGGAGAGCTCTGGCCAGCTTCAGTAAACAGTTCTGGGCTGGATTATTTGACTCAGCATGAAGCCGTTTCCTAGCTACCTAATGATCGATAACACACTTGCGGGTCTTGCCTATTCCTTTTCTCTGATTGTGACATGCAGTAAGGGAAGAAAGCCTCTGTGTTGGGGACTGAATATAATTTCGGAGTCCTGCGTTTCTGAGATGCCCATTCATTTTATTCATTTCATTTCTTTGCCACCCAGTTGTTGAAGCTCTCAGGGCAGTTTATGACAGTTCATAAAATAGAATAAAATACCATAGCTTCATTTCAAAGGACAAGCATTTTACAACAAAATTTTAAAAACAGGTAAAACAACATAGGATGGAGAGAGTACCCCTGAAGAAACACCTGGGATGGGTAATGCCCTCAAGCTCTTGGATATCCAAGTGCATGTCTGAAAACCTCTTCATAAAGGGCCACCTTAACCTGCTGGCAAAAGGGTTTTGCACTCCTTTCCCCCAAAAGTGAGAAGCAATGGTTGAGTCTCACCTGAGGCTGCTGCCTTCTTCTGGGACAGAGCCTGCCATGGAGCCAAGCCAGATAGAAGATTCTCCAGAGACTCATGAGGAAGGAGATGGGGAGAAAGAAAGAGAATAAAGCTAGATGGAAACACAAAGCATTCTTTTTTCCACCCCCTTCCTCCTGGTGGACATAAAAAGGATCAGAAGAAATGTCCATCTAGTGTACGAGCCACACAACCTGGCCAAATCAGAAGCATCAGTACTCAGAGTGTCTGGGTGGACTGGCCGAGCGTGAATGGCCTAATTAAAGGCCATCTAAGCTCACAAGCACCTCCACAAGCTGTGGCAGTGGGATGCTGTGGAAAGGCAATGGGTGGGTAAAACTGTGCAGTGCCTCTGCACCCACACCCTGCAGGCAGCCTGGGATTATGCATCTTAGCACGCTTCCATGGATGACAGGAAACATCTCTGCAAGCACCAGTGCTCTTGAGCAGAGCAGAGCCCTTCACCCCGGCTGCGACAGCAGCACAAGGTGCCCCTCCAAAGGAGTGCAGAGGGAGGCAGAGCTGCCCCGGATGCTCACATGAGCAGGGCAGCTGGGGGGCTGCCATCTGTTTCTTGTCTGTGACTGAGGCTCCATCACTGTTTATTGAATCATGGAGGCTGAGCCGGGGTCTCTCTGTTCTTGCAGGGGGTGGTGACATTTGAAGATGTGGCCGTGTATTTCACAGAGGGCCAGGGGGCCCTGCTGGGCCCAGACCAAAGAGCCTTGTACACAGAGGTCATGGTGGAGAATTATGGGAACGTGGCCTCTTTGGGTAAGGAACCTGGTTTTTCGTTTCGTAAGAATGTGGGTGCTCCTATCTCTGAGTACTTTTCTCCAGTATCTCCTGTTAAGAAATAAAGGCTGCTTATTATTGTACTGATTTTTCTGCATATTTTTTCTTGCAACCAAACCCAGCAGGTGACATGAAAGACTTCCTCATTTACCTGCTCATGGGCTGCAGCATCCCCCTTTATTATTCATTTGTGGGTTATATTTCTATCCTGCCTTTTTTCAAAGCACCTGAGGCAGCTTACATGGTCCTTCTCTCAGTGTTATCTTCACAACAACAACCTTGTGAAGTAGGTTAGAGTGAAAGTTAGTGACTCTCCTGAAATCTACCAGTGGGGTTCCTGACCAAGTGGGGATTAGGACCCAAATCTTATCATTCCCAGTCCAGCACTCTAATCACTATGTCACACTGGTTGCAATTCTGCTGCAGTTGATCCTGGTGCATCTGTAGGCATGAGAAAGATCTTCCTGTGTACAAGTATGTGTCTCTGCGTGTGAGAGAGTCTGTCAGCATGTGATTGTGTGCATGTGTGTTAGAAAGAGAACGTCCGTAGCGCGCGCGCGCGCACACACACACACATTCTTTTTGATTTAGAGAATTAAAGAACCTCATTTTTAAAAATTAAATTGAACTTTATTTTTCTAAGAGTTTAAATACTCAGTTTCCCATTCCAAAGTGCTCATTGTGATGAGTTCCATCATAAGCCTGCAAAATCTATGCTTACATTCTCATAAAAACAAATTAATGGTTCAGCCACAAACACATTGAATTAAATACTGGGAAAACCTGGGAATTCATTTCAGTTTTTCACCAGAATGTTTCTATTCAGCTTAACTGCTGGTTTTTGCTTCCACAGAAATCTGGGGTTTCAGTTTCTCTGGCTAAAGTTGCATTTCCAGGGCACAGGCTGGGTAGGATTTTTATTTTGTACTTAGTCATTTTGGAGCTGGGCCAAGCAAGGATGAGGCATTCATGAAGACAGACAATATAAAATGGTGGGTAAAGAGTAATGATTTTATTGTAAAACAAATCAGACAAGTTGTTCTAATTATTGAGACCCATCATGTTGCAGTGGGTAGTGATGGGGTTCCTTCTCTGGAGATGTCGTAGAGGCTTCAGAGTGAATGATGGTGCTTCCTCTTCTCTTCTTTCCTGAGAAGGTTTTCCAGTCTCCAAGCCTGAGCTCATTTCCCAGCTGGAACAAGGAGAAAAGCCGTGGATGCCAGATTCTGCGAGCTCGGATGGGAAGGAATCCTCCAGGGCCCACTCAGGTGAGGCATCTGTATGAGCCCACTTGACCCACATGGATGGTTTCTTGGTGTCTTGAAATTCTGCTCTCTCTTCCCCACACCACAATTTAGTATGTTTGAGTCTCTCTCTCTTTTTAAAGCGTTTCTTATTTTTACATAAGGTCAAGCTCAAGTACTTATGCTGTATAAAGTTCTGTAATGTCAAAGTTACAATGGCTAGGAAGAATCACATATTTATATTTAAATCTCAAGATGTTATATCACTCCAATACCACCTCTGTATTTCTGGAGGTCTGAAGTCTTTTTTTTTAATTAACAACCATTTTTTAAAAATGGAAAACCTTATCTTTATGAAACTTTGTGGCTTGTTCAACCCTAATTCAGGAGTGCCCAAAGTGGTGCCCCCAGGCACCTGTAAAACATCACATTTTAAAAAATAAATGTGTATATATTCCCAGCAGTCACTGTATATGAAATGTATACACCTTTCAAGCAGCTAGAAACAGGCATCGGGAAAAGTGTTCCAAACGTGAAGATGATGTTTATTTGTCACCTATTTAAATACTGAAAGTGTTGTAAGGTCCTGTATCCACAGCAGTACAGTGTTTATTCTTTTAATATTGTAAATCAGCCATTTAGTTGTCAAAAAGGCCCGAAGAATCCTTTTACAAGGTCCATTTATTAATTTCCATGAAGCAGGTAAATAATTTTAAAATGTGTGTACATCCATGAATATTAAATACTGTTCCAGAAGCATTAGCTGAACTGCACTGCCAGCTATTAGCCAAAGTGGACAGCCCCTTATTAAAGAGACTTTGGACTGTGCAATAGACAAGGAAGAGGAGATTTTGCTGAATAAGAAGCAGCCGAAGGATCATAGGCGCAACAGGCAGGTGTCAGAGTGCCCATTTACTGATCAGGCATTTTGAGGTGGAGCCCAGCCCAGCCCCTCGGATTCCCAAATGTGTCCACAGGTCCAAAAAGGCTGGGTACTCCTGCGCTATACATCTAATGTGACACAAACCACTTGCCCCCCTTGGACCAGCCTGACTTGGTTTTCCACCCTTATGCTACTTCCATCCACGCTGTTGCCAATAACTCTTTATGGTTTACATCATCAGAAATGACTGGAAGTGCTAACATGCTTTTTGTGCGTCTGGAATGGATTTAAAGGTCTTTAGCCAGGTTGCACAGGAGCACCTGCTCACAGCACGGGAAACAGCGTCCCCCTGGTCAGCATCCTCTCCAGCATGATGATGTTTGGTCTCCATGATGCAGTCTTCCCACATATATGCCAGATTGAGCACTGAGTCTTTAAATCGGGCTGGTGTGGTTCTTAATGGTTGCCTCGACCACCCCGGTTCCAGTGTGCTTCCGAAACGGTTATTTCCAAATCTTTCTCACACTTTGTTTTGTCCCCATGGAAGACCATTCACTTCTGCAACTCCCCCGAAAGCCATTCCGCATTGGTGGCAGTGAATTCCATAGTTTTATCTATGTGCTGCGGGAAGAAGTCCCTCCTTTTATCCATCCTGGATCTTCTTCCAGTTGGCTTCATGGTATATCCTCTGATTCTTGTATCATGGGTGAAGAAATTATTTATTTATCTATCATCTATTCATTTATTTCATTTCTATACCACCCTACAGAAGAAGTTCTCTGGACAGTTTATACAATCCATTAAAAGCAGGTGATAATATACAATAAAATATCATAAAATCAGGGAAAAAATTACAAGTTTAAAACAGCTAAAAACAGGTACTAAAAACATGCCATTGAAAAGATGACAGATTCAGTGCCAGTTGGGCCACAGTGGGAAGATTATTCCACAGATGGGGCCACCACTGAGAAGGCCCTCCCCCTTGTTACCACTCTCTCCACTTTCTTTGGAGGTTCCACACCATACATAATTTTACCATTTCCATTACTTCTTTTAATTGCAGAATTTCCAGTCAATGTTAAAAGACCTTTGGCCTTCTTCAAAGCTGAATTTTTTTGTACAAATGTTCTGACCTGTGGGTTAAGCAAGTAGATTTTTCAGTGTCCCTGGAGCTTGTCTAATATTTCACCCTCCATTGTGCTGAATCTTCAAAGCAAATGACGCTCCACCGATTCAGAACACTGGGCTACCCTGTTAAGATTCCTGCCCCGTCTGTCATTCAAAATTACCCCAACTCGGGAAGATCTCGACCACACGCAGGGCCCTTTTGCAGCTCCACATGGTAGAAGGCATTCAGTGGTGGGGACCGAGCGGGTTTCTTTGCTTCACCTTCTCGGTTGCGATGCTCCTGGAAAGATGCATCAGGTCAGGTGCTTCCCCTTTGTTTAACTTGGGGAAGAGAGGAAGGGCCCGGCTGGGGAGACCTACTCAGAACGGCCATGCACAGGTAGTGTCGGCATTGGCCAGGGTGGGTGACCCCTTACAGGACTTGTTCAAATAGCACTGGCAGGGGCGGCTCCTTTCTCATTCCCCCAGCATCTGGCCTCTCTTAATCTCCTCCACTTTTGCAGTCATCCGGCCTTGCATCATGTCTCTCCTTTCCTTCTGGCAGCCTTTATGGCTTTAGGCATATCCTCTTGCCAGGCTGAGGTAAGGGAGAGCTTGGTGCTCGTGGGCATGTGACGGGTGCAGGCTGATTGCAGCCACAGGAACCTTCCTCTGCTGAGCTTCTGCTACCCCCTCCCACCCAGCGATGGCCAAATTCTCCTGCAAGTTGCGCACCCACAAACCCAGGGACAGGATGCCGTTGTGGGTGGCAGCATGGGAGAATTACCCTCCCTCTGTACAATCTTCACCACGTACATATTCCCCACAGCCTACCAAACTGCTTTTCAGCAGGCTTTGTAGAGCATAACTGAGAAGGGGAAGACAGCAGAGGAAGCGCCGGCCTCCCTGAAAATAATGTTCTCCAAGGCCTGCTAGCTAGCTAGAGTGGACGACCAGGTGAAGGAGAGGGTACAAACTCCCCCTTCTTCCCCCTATTCCAGTCTCCCCTGAAAAAGTGAGTCCCCGAGGGTCTGGGAGTGCAGTTCTTAGGGGAAATGGCCTTGGTCAGGTGACCTGGCACACCCACTAAATATGGCTGCTAGTCTGCCCTGGCTGCTGCAGCAGCCAGCAGGGGTATAAGGCAGCTCATTTCTGGGCTGATGGGAATGGAGAGAGAGGCAGGGCGGATGAAGGGCTGCCTTTGCACTCAACACGCAATACGAGCATTATCTTCATGGCTTGATTTCCCCCTGCAGTCTCCTTCCAAGGTTCCTCTCAGTCCCATCCTCCAAAGACCATTCTGTTTTTCTTTCCCCCTTATTCCAGCAGGTGAGTATAGGCAAAAGGACTCAAGCACCGGGTGCGCTGGAACCCTTGCCCAGAAATCAAGCACTGTCAAAAATCGCAAAGGCTACACAGGAGAGAAACCATATAAATGCTTGGAGTGTGGGAAATGTTTTGATTGGAAATCACAACTCATCACCCACCAGAGAGTCCACACAGGAGAGAAACCGTATAAATGTTTAGAGTGTGGGAGGTGCTTTTCTATTAAATCAAACCTAATGATCCACCAGAGAGTCCACACAAAAGAGAAACCATATACATGCCTGGAGTGTGGGAAACGTTTTGCTCATCTGTCATCCCTTGCAATACACCAAAGAGTCCACACAGGAGAAAAACCTTATACATGCTTTGAATGTGGGAAGTGTTTTGCTCTAAAATCACAGCTTATCACTCATGAGAGAGTCCACACAGGAGAGAAACCATATAAATGCCTGGAGTGTGGCAAGTGTTTTTCTATTAAATCAAATCTAGTGATCCACCAGAGAATTCACAGAGAAGAGAAACAGTATAAATGCTTTGAATGTGAGAAGTGTTTTGCTCGGAAATCTCACCTCATGACCCACCAGAGAGTCCACACAGGAGAGAAGCCATATAAATGTTTGGAATGTGGGAAATGTTTCTCTATAAAATCAGATTTAATAAGCCACCAGAGAATCCACACAGGAGAGAAACCTTATAAATGCTTGGAATGTGGGAAGTGTTTTGCTCTGAAATCTCATCTCATGACCCATCAGAGAGTCCACACAGGAGAAAAGCCATATAAATGCTTGGAGTGTGGGAAGTGTTTCTCTATTAAATCAAATCTAATGAGCCACCAGAGAATCCACACAGGAGAGAAACCATATACATGCTTGGAGTGTGGGAAGTGTTTTACTCAAAAATCAGTTCTTGTGACTCACAAAAGAGTCCACACGGGAGAGAAACCCTATAAATGCTTGGAGTGTGGGAAATTCTTTGCTGATTCCTCAGCCTTTGCAAAACACCAGAGAGTCCACAAAGGCAAAAAATGCTACAAATGCTTTAAATGTCAGATCTGTTTTGTTAAACGCACAGCCCTTCTGAGGCATCAGAGAACACACACAGGGCCAAAATCATATCAGTGCTTGGAGAATGGGAAGAGTTCTTTGAAATCCTATGTTATGACCTACCGGAGGGTCCGCACAGGAAAAAAACTGCATAAATGGTCCCAGTATGGGAAATGTTTTGAACAAAAATCAAATCATGTCACCCACCAGAAAATCCATGCAGGGGAGAAACTATATAAATGCTTGGAGTGTGAAAAATGTTTCGCTCAGAAATCACTGCTCATAAAGCACCAGAGAGTTCACGCAGGGGAGAAAGCATATAAATGCTCTGAATCTGAGAAGTGTTCTGCTCAGGTATCGCATCTCATGACCCATCAGAGAGTCCACCCAGAGGAGAAAGGTGAAAGACACTACAATTGCTTGAATTGTGAGATATGTTTTATTCAGAGTTCAGACATTCTAAATCACCAGAAAGCCCAAACAGGGACAAAGCCACTGAAATGCTCAGAGTGTGGAAAGTGTTTTCCTCAAAAATCACACCTCTTGACTCACCAGCGAGTCCACACAGGAGAGAGACCCTATAAATGTTTGGAGTGTGGGAAGAGTTTTGCTCAGAAATCATCTCTCAAGACTCACCAGACCATCCACAAAGAAGAAAAACCATATAAATGCTTGGAATGTGGGAAGTATTACGCCAATCGGTCCTCCTTTGCAGTACACCAGAGAGTCCATACAGGCGAGAAACCATATAAATGCTTGGAATGTGGGAAATGTTTTGCTCAGAAATCAGTACTCCTAAAGCATCAGAGAGTCCACATTGGAGAGAAGCTGTATAAATGCTTGAAATGTGACAAGTGCTTTTCCGATAAAACAGCATTTGCAGAACACCAGACAGTCCATGCAGGAGAGAAACCATATAAATGCTTGGAATGTGGGAAGAGTTTTGCTCAAAAATCTCCTTTCCTGGGCCATCAGAGAGTCCATACAGGAGAGAAACCTTATAAATGCCCAGAATGTGGGAAGTGCTTTGCACAGCAGCCACATCTAAGGAGGCACAAGAGAGTTCATACAGGAGAGAAACCTTTTAAATGTCTGGAATGTAATAAATGTTTTGCTCAGAAATCAGTTCTCATAAACCATGAGAGACTGCACACGGGAGAGAGACCCTATAAATGCATGGAGTGTGGCAAGTGTTTTGCTCAGAAATCACATGTCTTGACTCACCAGAGAGTCCACACAAAAGAGAGACCCTATAAATGCATGGAGTGTGAAAAATCTTTTGCTCAAAAATCGAGCCTTCTGACACACTGGAAAAGTCATATGGATGAGAAACCTTCTGAATCCTCCAAGACTTTGCCCATATAGTAGAAACTGAATTATACCTTGCCATCAAAGAATGGGCAGGTGAGAGAACTTTTTTATCTTAGAATTGATAGACCACTGGCCGTCAGAAAAAAATACTCCTGATCTGTCCATTTAGATCCCACTATAGAGTTGGGTGATGGGAATGTGCAGTTATAGGCAGGTATCAAAATGGAGGTGGGGTTTAGATGAAGTGTCCCTTCTTTCTCAGTTCGGCAATGTTATGCTCATAAAATAGCTAGAAACTTCTGCTTTAGAATTTTAAGACCCCGATAAGCTGCTATTCTACTAGAAAAGGGACATTTGGGATGACTGGCAAGTCATCAATTTAAACAGAAAAAACGAGGCCTCAGTGACTAAGGAAGGCAGTGGGGAAGCAATGATGAAGCCCTCTTCTCTCCTTCCATAGATGTTTCTGCTGCTGCTCCAGCCACTCCGTCAAGTCTCCTCCATACCATATGGACATTTCTCCCTCCTTAGATATTCTTATCCAATAAAAGGAGGGTCTGAATGACTGTTGCAGAAGGAGCTGCTGGATTTTCCATTCTTTGTGCTATTCCTCACGAAGCGAGAATTCACAGAAGTCCAACAATTCTTGTTTTCGTTTCTTCAATGCTTCAGTGAGCCCAAGTGCATACAAATTAAGTGGGATTGAAATAATAGTTTCATTTTTGAACTGTTATTTTTTTCTGGACACATTTTAACTGTACTAATCTTCTAATGTGAATACATTTTGCAGTTTTTTTACATACTCCCAACAGTAGCAGTACTGACAGGGAGTGTGTGCGTTTATCTGTCTCTGGGTTTATATAGGGTTTTTTCTATTATATTACAAGCCTTGAATATAGTACGTTAGTAAGCTGGAGCAAATGCATGTGTGTTTTAAATTGACCTTCCCCTGAAATGGATAATTTACTGCATAGAAGGAGAATTTTTTTACCAGGGGAAGAATTCAATTATATCTACCTCATCTCCTCCCCTCCTACAGTCTGAAGTATGGCAGTCTAGAGTCAAATTGTGTGGAGAATAGCTCATGACACCCAATTCACTTTCCTGTTCTGATTCTAGTTTCTTCTCTCTCAGACATACAGTCCAGAGTACCCTATAGAAAAATTGAGATCTTCTATAGGAGACCACAAATAGGCCAGTCAAGAAAGAAAATCTTGTTACTGGCTTCTTTGTGAGCAGGCCCATGGTTAGGCCAGATAGGTAGGATTCAGTCCTCCTAAATTTTGTCTACCTTTTCTCTATTTTTTTAACAAATAAATATATTTATTATGGAATTTTAGAAAATCAGCAAGAAACCCTTTCTTTTCTTCCATAAGTTTACAGGTGCTATTATTTGGAGGCAGTAGTGATGTGGAATTTACCTGAATATTCCTAATAGTACATGCAATTGAGGGTACACCTGAGATCAAGGAATATTTTGATTTGTGTGAACAGTTGTGCACATTTTTTAAAAGAAAGAGTGCATTGCTCAGGTTTATAAATGGTGGTTCTTTAAAATACCTGTTGGTTCAGTAATGCACTGGACAGTTGGATACAGCTATGGTATACATTTGGATGAAGAATTAATTGTCTCATGCCTTGTGAAAAACGTCATCCAAAACCTCAAGGAATTGGATGCTTCAATTACACCAGTAGTCGTTGTTTTTTCTTTCTTACTGAAATTACGCCATAAAAATGAGGATATCCTGGAACCAGTGCTAAAAGTACACGAAAAGTACTTGTAGTGGTAATCATGGTTCCAGCAATTCAACGCAGCATTTAAACAATGGTTGAATTGGGAGGTAATTGCAATAAATGATAAACAATCCAGATATCAACAATACTTTTGAAGTAGCCAAGGAAGTGTGCAGATCTGCTCACAATGAAGTACCATCATAACGTCTTCATGATTTCCCCTGAACATCAGGAAAGCAGATTTTAATAGAACACTGGGAAATAGGATTTCATGGCAGAAAAATGCAACAGGAAGAAAAGTTGAAGAGGTGGAGCAGAACTCTTTTCAGATTTTCAGATGACACAAAATTGGGTGGGATAGCTAATACCCTAGTAGATAGGAACAAAATTCAAAATGAATTTGATAGATTAGAAGACTGGGCAGAAAATAGCACTGCAAAGACAAGTATAAAGTTCTTCATTTAGGAAAAAGAATGCTCAGGTACAAGATGGGGCAAAGGTGGCTTGGCAACATAACCACAAGCTGAATTCGAGTCAGAACTGTGATGTAGCTGCAAAACAACTTCAAGCAACTACAAGTGTAGGTTGAGTTAAAAGAAGTATAGTTCCAAAATTGTGGGAAGTAATGGTTTTGCTGTAGATGCTCTGGTTGGACCTCACTTTAAACAGGATTCAGATAAATTGGGACCAGTTCACAGAAGACTGGAAACTATGTCCTCTAAGGAAAGTTGGAAGGAACTGTGTGTGATAATGCTGGAGAAGAACACACAGAGAGATACGATATCACATGTCAAGTCCCTAAATGGGTGTCTCACAAAAGAGGACTGCAGAAAATCTTAGGACACAAAATAATGGGCTTAAGTTCAAGAAGTCAGATTTGCGTTGATTTGAAAAAAAAATCATAAGGACCAGAGCAGGCAGAGAAGGGAACCAGTCTCCCAGGAAGGCAATCTCAAGCACAGACTAGACAGCCATTTCTCAATGATGCCTTAAAATGGACTAAGCAGGGATTGGCCTATATAGCATCTTCCAACTCCGTGATTCTACAAAATGAATATTCCTGTTGTAATTTATGCTCAATTTTCTACTAGAGTGTTCTTTTTTCTTTGACTTTTCTTAACTGATGGCAAGAATTGTAGTAATTGTTGATGTGATTTAGTGACCATTTTTGAATGAACATGAATTGCAGTATGGCTTGAAAAATAGAGGTTAAATAAAAGCAGTTTACAATTGTGTCTTTAAAAGGTCTGCAGACTAGGCAAACTCTCTTACCACCTACTTTTTGGGCAGTCTCCCCAGAGACTATACTATAGGCCTGGTCTATTCTGATCCCCTAGACGAGTAGGATGGGGTGGGATTGGTGGCCTGCGATCACAGAAGAAAATGAGGAACCAGTGAAAGGGCAGGGATCAGAGGAGATGGGGAAAAGAACAAGCCAGAAAGATAGAAGAAAAAGACAGAGAAAGGACTGGAGAGGCAAGAAGGAAGGGGAAGACTGGAAATGTCCCAAAAGAGAAAGGGGAGAAGAGAAATAGTGACCTATCCACAAACCAACCAGGGAGAGGCGGCTGTTGGTCTTCCTTCTCAGGTGCCAGGCTCCAATGAGTGCACCCCATGCTGTTAGGGCCATTTCATACCTATCAGCAAATTGTGGGCTATTTCTGTAATCCATGACTTTCCATGCCTGAGTGGGACAGGCTCTCCCAGCGATGAACTATGACTTAATCCGTGGGTTTTTAGTCCTTAAACAGCCCAGCACTCCAAGCGTCCATGCCGTGCTCTACATCCTCCTGGCGAGATGATCACAGGTGGGTTGGCAGAATGGAGGGGCACGCAGGAGCCCACAGTTTCCTGGTGTGTGCTCCCTGATGAACAAACTACAGAGGCAGGGGGACCAACACCTTTCCTGCACGATTCTGAGTTACACGCCTACCACCCCCACAAGTCTGGCCAGGGTGGGGATGCTGTTCGACGGAAAGGGAAGTGTCAAGGGGGACTCCAGGAGAGCGAGTCAACCGCTTAGGGAGTAACCCAAGCCAGACGCTTCCTTCAAGGAAGACACGGGTTCAACTTATTATTTATGGGATCCAAAGGAGTCTTGTTCCCTCATTTGTTATGTTTGGTTGCATAAGCGGGTGAGGGGCAGAGTGAGAAAGGAGCCATACGCTTTGGGTGCTGAGGCAAGGACTGTAATGAAGCTGAGACTGAATAAAAGCACTGTTCCAATGTGTTCTGGGCTGTCTTTGTTTTATGAAACCCTGGATCGGGAGTGTCGAATACCTTTCAATGTAAGGGCCAAATTCCATTTGCAGGATTGCAGTGCTGGGTGAGGATGAAGCATCAACAAAGCTGAGTGCTCTTAGTCCCAGTAACTAATCCTTAGAAACAGCATTTCATTCTTTTAGGCTGGAGAAACAGGTAGGAAACCACATGTTATACATGGTTGGGAAAAGGGAAAAGGGGTGCGTCCAGGGCAAGGGGATTTGGCTACATGGGAAGCTCCACTGAGACTTCAGTTGACCACACCATATTTTGATCTGCTATTCCAACTTTCCCTTCTCACAAAGAGCCAGAATATTTGGGATGCACTCCGGAAGAGGCATCTGATTGTTTGGGCTGCACACCATTCTCAAAGCAGTGATCTTCACTGTCTTTAATAGAAGCAGTGTTCATTTTTGATCTTGTAAAATGATTTAAAAAAACAGAATTCAACTACTTTAGTAGGAAAATACCACCTCTTGTAACTTAGCTACATTGTTGTAGTAAATGACATGCATTTAGGGGAGTCAGTGTGGAAAGGGCTCCCCCAAAAGCCAAAAAACCTGTAAATCCTCAAATTGGGAAAGCCTACAGCTGGGAGAAAGGTGGCAGCTAGCTGGAAGACAATTCTCCCTCCTGAATGAAGTGAGAGAAGCATAGGAGGGGATCTCAACATTTTGGAAGGTGAGCGAGTTTTAATGAATGAAATTTACCAAGTCTTTCACCTAACTTCCAAAACAGGTGCCTTTGGGATGATGGGCAGGATAGAAATGCAGCGGTACCTTGGCTCACTAACTTAATCCGTTCCAGGACTCTGGTCGTGAGCCAAGTCAAATTTCCCCATAAGGGTCAATGTAAATAAGGTTCAGCCATTCTGCAACTATTTTTTTTACTCACCAAAATTTGAAGCAAAGTGACAACAGCAAAGATCACAGACATCTCACCCCCCCCCCACAGCGATCGTGCGGGGGGTGGGGGGAGGCGGGCGCAGGCACGGGCGCGCTGGGGCAGGGAAGATGGGTGCAATCGCAGCCTTTTCCCCCCCAGCACGAACGCGGCCA